GTTTCATTGTTATTTTGCTTAGTTTCTTTTGTTACCTTTTCTGACATCAGACTCGGACTTCTTTTAAACTGAGTTTTACTGTGCGTATTGCTGTGTGTTTGTTTATTCTACATTGGCAAGAGGTATATGGGGAGGGTTGAGATCTCACAAAACATGTTTAACCCCGCCGCATTTTTGCGCCTGTATCAAGTCAGGAGCCTCTGGTCTTTGTTAGTCTTGTATGTTTTTTCTTATTTTAGATCATTTATATGTTTTGAAGGTTAGTATGACGTCCATTTTCACTGAACTAGTACACATTTTTATTTAGGGGCCAGCTGAAGCCCGCCTCCAGGTGCGGGATTTTCTCGCTGTGTTGAAGACCCATTGGTGGCCTTCAGCTGTTTTCTGTTCTTTGGTCGGGTTGTCCTCTCTTTGACATATTCCCCATTTCCATTCTCAATTTTAAGGTTCCAACTCATTCAGGCAAAATTAACTTTAGACAGATTCGGCCATTCTGTTTAAGTCTCTTTCAAGGGTATTTATACATTCTTGGCTTTGAATTTGTGGGTTTAAGAGTTTTGCTGAATGGTAGTTCAGAAAAGTACTTCGGTTCAAATTTATTTAAGGAATAGCTGTAATATTTTTTCTGTCTATGAAGAAATAACATCAAAAATGTGATGCACACTGAATAACCCGCGTAGCGGGTTATTTTAAAGTGTGCATCACATTTTTTATGTTATTTTCAAATAGACAGATAAAATATTACAGTTATTTCTTATAATTTAATTCTAAATTCCATTTTAAACCGGAGTAAACAATGAAAAAACATTGATGACGTCACGGTCACATGACTAAATTATGTCTATGAGCTGATAAACAAAACAACGTCAGCCAATCAGCAGACGCGTTACATCCAAAATTAAATTATAAAGTGTTATTTTCATTTTCAAAAGTCATTAGTTGGGTCTTTCGTAAAAGTACTAAACGAAATTGCCAGTTGAGATAACAAAAAATGAAGGGTGTGTATAATCATCAACGATACCATGCTTATAATTTTGTACGTCGGACCCGTGTTCTGTCTACAATAGACTCATCAGTGACACTTGAATCAAAACAGTTGTCCACCATTATCTACATAAAGAAATGCCTGTACCAAGTCAGGAATATGACAGTTATTTTCCATTCGTTTGATGTGTTTTTGCATTGGATAAGGGACTTTCCGTTTTGAATTTTCCTTTGAGTTCGGTACTTTTTTTTATTAAATTTTTACTTTTTTTGGAAGGGCAAATCATATAAGAAGTTTAAGAGCATTAAACACCAATGATTCGTAATAAGTCTAAGGCAATCTCTACCTGTGGGTAGAAAAAACCTTAAGTGTTCAAATAATTCAACATTTTATATACAGTAAATTTACAGAAAAATTTATATTTCATTTCAACACAAAAGTACTGAATATTAGGCTGGTGATACCTTCGGGAAAGAAACGTCTACCAGCAGTGATATCGACCCAGTGGTTGTAAAAACTCATCACATGTTACAAAGTGAGTGTAACTGCTAAAGAATCGATGGTACCAAGGGACAATCAATAAAACAGAAGTTGAAGAAAGAAAGAACGACACCACCAATTGGAAAACAAAGACAAAAACACAATCATCAGTCACCGTCATGTGGGTTGATGAGGACACGTACACATCCGGTAATAAAGCAACTATCAGTGACGGACCAACATGGACGGCATTCTGGTTAAAACAATATTTATATCTTTGGAAGATGAACACTTTATGCTGCCCCTGATGGCCTTCTGAAATTAATTAAATGGTATTTGCACAATGAATAACTACGTAGATGGAATAGTTGTATACTCTACCCGATAAAAGAAAAAAAGTGGATTATACGCTAACGAAATATATGAATTTCGGTCGAGGCCATTATCTTACATGCATCTTAAAATACATATAATTTATGGTTAATTGATTAAATACCTGTTTGATAAACAACATCCTTACTCATACTGGGTACATATCGCGGCAACATATGACTGTAATCAAGTGGTAGATGTTGTCAGGTTCAAAGACCCGCAATAAAAGTACAAAAATAACAGACCTATTTTCTTACAGAAAGTATAAAGAAATTATGTTGGTTAAATAACAGATAATGAGATACTTGTTCTATTGGTTTCAACTAACGTTTGGTACTTGTGCCTCACAAAATAACAATCATAAAACCTAAAGATGACATTAATAAATTAAAATATTTTAGCGACGAAAGGTGTATCGTGTATTAAAAATTAAAACTTATTAAATAAATGTCGATCTTTTGCTATCATTACAAAACTATGATAAGAAGAAAGCATAATAATGTTACTTCAAATAGCAGATTCACATGGACAACCACACGGTGGAAATAAAAAATATCCCATGATCTTAAAATGAAGTGAAGTCATGCAGATACATCGACATGTATAAGTATTACATGCTCTTTATGCATTACCAGCCCTCCGACTCCTAGCTGGTATCCAGTCAAGGCCAGTTAAATTAACAGAATGAGAGTTTCATGCCAATCATGCAATTCTTATTTCAAGTCAAGTTAAGGATTTTTGCATCATCATTTCATGTGATTCCTAGATTCTTGTTAGTACAGCTTCTAATTAAAATAAACTGATATTGCTGGATCTTTTTTTGTCAAACTACCAACTTAAAAAAAATGTGTTGCTTATGAAAACATCAACTGTGTTAAAATGCTTACTTTTATGTATTGAGTTTTAATGATCAGTGTGGTTTTTGACCAAACAATATTCTATATTTTTGACCCCCATAATATTTTCTATTCTGAAAACCCCATCCAGATCCTCTAATATTTTTGTTTTTGTATTCCATGAATATATAGATACTGCTATAAGATCATATTTCTTAAAAATATTTTTAAAACTGTTTTCAATGCGATAGATATGGTTTTGAAAATCTAAGAAAGGATTGAGTTATGTTAGTGCAATGTACATATATATAGTGTTGCTGATAAAGTTTTAACCATTATATTTCCATTAGAAAGCAAGAATGATTTATTTTCACTCTGAATGTTTAGGTTTTTAAGCGGAAGTCCTTGTTATATCATTCAATACAAGGTCATTTTAAGCATTCTTAAAAGCGTGAATATTATAAAGAGGTATCATAAATTGAAGCAACGACATATGAAATCCGTTTACAAGGCTTTCAGACTGCACGACCTCAAGGATCAACAAAAATGTCAGAACCTTTGAGACAGATTTGAACGAATCAGCAAACAGTCTTATTTCATTTTGTAAGAGTAAGAACGAACAAAATTTCATTTTTTCAGTTAAAAAGAAAACGAGAACCTGGATATTTCATAGAAATCTCTCTGTGGTCAATCGAATACTAGAACCCTCTGGGTGGATGATGTTCAGCAGACTATAAATCCATCGATAGTTGTAAATTAATATGTTCCTGTTATATAGCACGTAAAGTTCTTACATTTACACTTTACTTTACACTTCAGAATAAAATTATCAAACGACACTAGTTGTTTTAAAACTACCTTTCAATCGAATCATGCAGTAGCACTACGCCTGTCAAACCAACAAAAAACGTTCTAACAGTAGAAATAAAACCAATCAAAAATTTAAAAGTCGTAACATCTAGATACAGAGAATGTTCACACTGAAGATGACAATATGTACAATACCCTCGCATGTGTGTACACGAAATATTATATAAGACGACGAATGTGAGAACAATACTTGGGAGTATGAAAAAGAACGACAAACAGCGATTAGGTTTTATTTTGCCGACCTTTTTGCTAAAAAAGGCGTGCTTACTATTCCGTGAAAGATAATAAAACTTCCGTTTAAGGGAGTTTTAAGAAATGTCGGCTGTGCATATACATGGGCGCATATGTATTTTCATCTTGCAGTGTGTTGGCAGTCAAAACTTCCATACACTATCTTTTTTTTTCTTTTTTCTTTTTTTTTTTGGATGAAATAGCAAGGTTACTCTCCCAGTTTCTAGTCAAAACTTAAAAGTTTATATTTATCTAATCAGAATTAGATATACACTGGAAATATGGTGTCCTCAGACCTGATCATCAAACAAAGCATGTTAATGTCCCAATGCAATGAACAAAATATACAATATTATCCTTGTATAAAACCAGTCCAAAGTTTTAACAATACCTAAGCGAAACTAAACATATCGTAAAATAGTTTCACTTTCGTCTTTATTAACAATGAATATCTGATTGAAAACTGTTGGTACTAATGAAAAAGAATGTATAATACGTATTTTTATTTAGCTGTGTGTTGGGTTGTTTTCTTTAAACGAAGATGCTATGTTACTTTTTAAGTGTCTAGTCAAAACCGAATTAACTGAACATTAAAGTTTATATTAGATTTAGACCAAAAACAGGAAAGATGGTATCCTCCGAAAAGACTTGTACCTTTCCCAATGAAATGACCAAACTGTACAATATCTTCAAGTCATATGAAACAAGTCCAAAGTTCTTAACAATACTTTAGTCAAGTTAAACATATCCTGAAATGGTTCCACTTTCGTCTTTACTATCAATGAAAATCTAATTGAAAAATGTTATTATTAATTAAAAAAGAAGTACAATACACATATCCATTGTTTAAACAGATTTTTGAAGACATAATTCTTAAGCAACTTCTTATTAACAATTGATCGACTTATTCAACACATGCATTTATAAGTCAGATTTCTTTATCCAGTAACACTGTATTTTAATTTAATCTTTTGATATCAGTAAAACTTTTGAATTTTATCAGCCAGCTAGTTTCAGTCAATGTATATATTGTATATTCGTTTATGATCAAAATTTAATATTATTTTGAATACACCTTTTTTGAATGCATTCAGACGTGCATTTGTTGTACATTCAAAATCAATTTAAAAGAAATAAAGTATGCATTGTTCTCATATCATAACCGCCCTATTGAAAATCATTTCGCGGCGTTTATGAAAATTCAATAGATAGTATTTTCAATCGACAACAGTGTATTGTCAATACAAAGGTAAGGTAGTCTTTGTAGCATATCAACTCTAGCTATCGACGGATATTGGTTGATGATATGCTCTCGTGACCTTTTCAATATTTTTGGATGACCCCTGATTTGATTGATGTTTTATCTTTTAAATAGGCAGTTCCTTGTATCGATTTTAGACGATAAGTAATTTATTTAACATCCGCCGAAGTATACCTTAGATACGGGGTCTGTTTGGACAGACGTGCGTAGTACAGTATTATAAACAACATGCGTAGCTTGACGTCGTCGACTTCAACCGAACGCTTATCAGTGATAATGAAAGTGAATCTGACATAACAACGGAGAGAGATTTGATTACAATTCCGGATTCTTAATTTAAACGTATTGAGAATTTAAAGGGAAAGGATACTCCAGAGGATTTTTTCAGGATATTGTCCTGGTTTTGTGATTTCAATTTGGTCAGATTCACTGCATTTAAAGACTAATAATGAGGAATGGCAACTATGAATCCGAGGATGAGGGGGGAGTGGAGCCTCATTATCAGCAAGGATCGACTAGAGGTCTCTATACATATGTATATGTAAATGGGGACGAACATTTTCTACCAAAGAAACTTCTAGTCAATCCTAAACGTGATCGGACATATAATGCATTTCTGGACTACGCTACAAAAGTCTTAAACCCAAGATATGGTGCTGTACGAAACATTTATACCCCTGAAGGAAGACATCGTATTCGAGGATTCGAAGACATGCAACCTGACGGGAGATATGTGGCCTGTGGCAGAGAACGATATAAGAGATTAGATAGACCGTATGTATTTTGTTCTTATTTATAATTTTTTTTTTTAACTCAAATTGACAAGTGATAACAATTCAAATTGTTACTAATTTCCTCACCCCTTTTGGGTTCATAAAACACCCATTTAACATTAATATAGTAATTGGACTTCCGCCAAAGATTTTGTGTTTAAGGAATTAATGCCTATATTGTCCTTCTTGATAAAAGTTAGGGATAATATAAGAAAATCACAGAGTGAGATTAACAGGTTTTAAATTTTGCCAATGAAAGTTCTTAAATGAAAATCAGATGTACAATCAATGCAAAACTGACGTTTCATCTTATTTTTTTTCTTTCTTATTTATCATAGGCTTCTTAAAACACCGGACATATTATCAAACATATAGAGCCAACATGCTTGTTGGGGACATAATTATGTAACCTTCAGTAAAATTATGTAACCAAAGGCACAACTTTTGCACTACATTTTGATGCTATGGTACCAAGTATATCAGTTTTTCAAATCATAATTACATGGCAGAAGTCCAGTTGTAATACACCGCAACAGTCTACGCTACAGTAAACTGTGTTCCACTTGTGTATTTTTTCTGCTGCAATGAACCCTTTAAAAGGAACCAAATAATAGTAATAATCTTACACGGTGATAACTTTCATTTTATAAAAATATTTGACAATATATATATATATTTCACTTTAATTGATGACCTTGTGTAGACCTATCTTTCAAATGGTTATCAATAAGATATTATATGAACGATACAATACCAAATATGCTATCAGACCTTTATCATTCTACATTCTTTAGAATTGTACAAATATATATTCCTTTATGACATCCATTGACTTTATATTATTGATATTTTGAAGTCAAATTTAAAACACAAGACAAATCAGTAACAATGAAAACTGTAATATTATACTTATATAAATCAATGTAGTTGTTAATATATTGATATATTCTCATTTAAAGAGAGGGTCACATAAGGGTTGACTATTGACCAATGGGATTTGTTAATATAAGGATATATTCTCATTTAAAGATGGGGTTATATATGGGTTTATTAATGACCAATGGGTTTGTGAATTCATCGATGTATTCTCATCTGAGCGGGATCGGGGGGTACACAAGGGGTTATAATTGACCAAACTGATAGAATTTCCAAAAGTTTTTCCGTAAATTTCACTAAGGGGTTTTGCTACTTAACTACTTAACATAAGCAACAACAAACAAAAATAATGTGTGAAATGCTTCTCTATCGAGCATATTGATTATGCATTAAAGTACCTACCTAGGTCGTCAGTGAATCATTGCAATATTGCAGGTATTTCCATATATACTCCATAAGTACACAATAGATATAAAACTTTGTTTTATTGAGGAAGAAACCATAATATATATAAGAAGATGTGGTATGAGTGCCAATGAGACAACTCTCCATCCAAGTCAAAATTTATAAAAGTAAACCATTATAGGTCAAAGTACGGTCTTCAACACGGAGCCTTGGCTCACACCGAACAGCAAGCTATAAAGGGCCCCAAACATTACTAGTGTAAAACCATTTAAACGGGATAAACACGCATTTGTGTTTTCTTTTTTGCCCTAGTAATTGTTTCACTTACAAAACAAATATCAAAAAGTTTATGACACCATGTAAATTTTCAATATTAAGGACTCCAAATATATATATATATATATATATATGTTTTCATTATTTTTAGAAATATCCAAAATATCAAAACGTCAAAAGTACTACAGATTTTTTTTGTTGAAGAAAATATTTTTAAAAATTGTTCATGAAACCATGAAACCATGTAGATTGTAAAACAAATATATTTGAGAAAATATAGAACAAAATTTAACAAATCTGTGTTAGCAGCTCTATGGTTGGTATATTTTTTTAAATTAAATTTGAAATATCCATCCTTTTCAGTTTTTACAAAAACTCTCAGAACTAGCGAACATTTTCGGTCTTGTGTTTCATGTATAAGCAGAATGGCATGCAGTGTAATTTTATCATATAATCGTTGATAAGCCCAAAATACATGCATAAAGTTTGAAAAAGATGGAAACCAATATGTCATTCAAAAATAAACAGCACCATGACTAAGGTAAAGAAACGAGAAGACATAAAAAAAAGTCCACCAAATACTACACAGAAAACTAAAAATTAAGTAACACAAAACCCATCAAAAACCAAGAGGTGGACTCGGATTAAGCAGTTTCTGCTCCAGCAATGGCACCCGTAGTGTTGCTAATGGCAAGTTAAAAAATCGGTAACAAGTTGCGTTCGGTGACGTCACAATTGTGAAAAAGAGGCCGGGGTTGTAGCTACAACAGAAGTAATATATACAGCGTATGTTGTCACCAAGTAAATTTTTAAAATGACCTTTCTGGTGACATGGTAACAAGGAATTTAGCATAACCTTTCATTTCTAACCAATTTCCCCTTGTTTCAACTTTCAAGTGTTTGCTTTTTTATAAGTTGACAGTTTGATATGCATGTTGTAGACAAAAGCATGTCGTTTTTTTCTACATTTTCATTTTTTTTTTTTTTTCAAAAAGTCGATGTTTACTGAACACTTTGTTCTTTGCATAAAAGGGGTACATTGTTTACAATATGAATAACACGTTTATATAGAAAGTATCATTAGAATTGTTAATCTCAAATATCTACATTCTGTTTGATCTTTGTCCAATCTTTAAATTATAATCCAAAATGTACACACTCTACAATGCAAATGTTATCTTTCTTAAGTTTATGTACTCATTTTTGCAATTTTATTACTGAAAACTGCATAGTTAAAGAGATTTGGTCGTGTTTGCTTTGCAATTTCATAAACAGGTATTTTTTGTTTTATTTTACTATTTTATATCGATTTTTCATTAAAAAGCTAGAAAACGTTTGAAACATAAGTTAATGTTTTTTTATCATGTAAAATGCAATAAATAATTTATTGAATGATACGGAACATGTGCTTATACTACTCCTTTTCAGCTAAGTAACGTAAAAGGAAAAGGTTTAAATGCAAACGCTGGTACATCGCGATCGCTTGCAATAATCTTTTTGTCAAAAAATATGTTTTCATAGAGGTCTAACCTCTCCATTCCCCCCAAAGACGTCTCTTCTAAATTGCATCTTCAACAACCATTTGTTTGCTTTGTGTTTAATGTCACCCTCTTTATAAAGAATACGTTCACAAAATATATCAAAAAAGAAGTCTCTATAAGGTTAAAATAATTTGTACGCCCAACTTATTGTATTGTCTTCGATATTTTGGTTACAGTATCTCTGATAGCCTGTTTGCTCGATATGATGATGTATCCACGTTTTAGTTAAAATCACAACCTCTAATGATACAAATTGACAAAAGACGTGTTTGACGTGAAGTTTCATGCAGATGTGTCTGGTTTAATATGAAGTTATTTATCAATCCCTACACAATTTCTTTGAAGAATGTAAGATAACAATTTTCGTACATACAGCTTTAACATTGTTTAAGTTTAGAGAACTCAACTTTATTTTAAAGTTTCATCACCCCTCCCAAATTTTGAGAATGTATGTACTGTCCTTTTGATATTCGAACTTTAATCCCCGTTTTATATGTCCAAGTGAAAACGTTTGTCATCGCTGACAGTGTGTTGTCAATTTGATAGACGTCTTAGACTGATACGAATGCAAATTTCTTGACACTATCAGTCCAAATGGACAGGAATTTGCTGATATAATTGAAAATTGCCTCAATTGTTTTTCTTTATTCTACAGCGTTATCTGCGGATTTTCATGTTTTATCATTGAAAACCTCGGATTGAGATAGTGATAACCTGTAATCGTAAAGGTATCAACTCTCTTTACCTCACCATAAAAACCTCTTTATTTCTACTGTTCTTTATCTAAAGTATGATTCTTCAAGTCATCGCATTTATCATATATAAAAGATAACACTAGGTGAAGAGTCGTGACGAAAGGACATGGGAAAATCCGCGGCATGCAGCATATTATCATCCGAAAGTCAAATAGTAAAGCTGACTAAGCTACTTATCAAATCCAAATATTGTCCCTTGTTAAGTCATGAAGTTTCTGCGATCTAACATACTTGTTCACTGTTATCAAACTCATTCAGTTTAAAGTAACTGTCTTCTAGGTGAAAATGTGAAATAAATGGTTCATTGCGAATTTATTTCTAATCATTTTCCTATCAGTTTAATCTTATCATTAAGGGAATTTTAATGTTTTTGCTTTGTGCAGTGTTCCGAACGTGTTTAAACACAAATATCAATAGTAAGAATGGTTTCGTTCAGATCCCAGCTTCTAATAACAATATTGTGTTTATGAAATGTGTATGGGGTAGACAGAAAAAGAATGATGGGCAAAAAATAAAGAGTGCAGAAAAATTGGCATACAAAATAAGGAATACAGAATAATGGGTTACCTAAATAAAGAGTACTAATAGATAATAAGTGAAATAAAAACTAGTAGAATTTAGTGAAAATTGTCCTAAACAATTAAAGAATAAAAAAATGATACTACTCATCCAGACCCCCTTATCTTTTTACATGATGTTATGTTCTACTTTATTATTCGTCGTTCAATAAAATATTTACTCATGTAGAAAACATTTCTTTGCCTCATTTATCTTCATATGAACTTTCATATTAATTTTTGAAAACATATCAGAGGGTCTAGATGGGGTTTACAGAAAAGAGAATAATGGGCCAAGAGTACAGACAAATGGACCGAAAAAAAAAGAAAGAGAAAAAATAGGTCAAAAAGATAAAGAATAGAGAACAATTAAGTGCTAAAATATAAAGAATAGAGACTAAAGGGCAACATACACACAGAATAGAAAATAATGACCTAATATATAGAATACAAAACCCTCCCCATCTAGTCCCTCATATCAGTTCAGTTACCTTATAAAAGTTTGATAAATATTAATACATATTTCAATGACGGATGACTTACGGAATACATTTCATTAAGTGTTGTCACTCGACACATCAATATTCTATA